GGGGGAGCCGAGTGGGACGGGGCGGGGCCGGGCGGGGCCGCGAAGGGCTTGGGGGAAGGAAAGTGGAGGGGGAGGCGGTGGCGACGTCCAGCCTGAGAACCTCCGGAGAGGGAGGTGACGGGACGCTGCCAGGTGGGGGAGGGGACCCGCCGAGGGGGGCGTGCAGGGGAGGTGGCAACTGTGGGAGAGGGCAGGGGTCGGGGCGCAGGGGTGCGAGCATGGGGAGGGGCGTAAACAAGGGCCCAGGCTGGGCCAGGCCAAGGGGTATTAAAGCGGCCGAGGTGGGGAGTGGGGCTGCGAGCCAGCGCGTTGAGAGGGGTAGGAGCTGGTAGGGGGGGGAGCCTGAGGGTGTGGAGGGGCAGGGGGGTTTGGGGGCGTGCGGTTGCAGGAAGGACCGGACTCCCCGTGAGCGCTGTTGGGAGGACGGGGTGGGGGGGGGACGGGGACGGGGAGAATTGGACTGGAGACGTTTGGGTGAAGGGAGGTGTTTTCAAAGTGTTAAAATTGGAAGTGGGAGCGGAAGGGCCTTGAGGGAGAATTGGGGTGGAAAAGGAGAGAGAGAGAGAGGAGGGCTTGGGGAAATGGGGAGAGAGTGTCGCTGAGACAGAGGTGATGTGTGCAAAGTGAGAGACCCGGAGGAAAGTTTGGAAGGAAAGGGAGCGAGGGCAGTGGAGCTGCACGGATGGTGGAGGCTTGGGGGTTTCCCTTCTTGCCCCCGTGGAAAGACGGCAGAGTTAAGCAGTATCAGTTGCAGCCAATTTTGATTGCCAGGCGCTTGGCTTTTAATAGGGTGGGAAGGGCAGAAAGGAATGGTCATGTGGGTTTGGAGAATTGGGGTCGAATGAGGGTTCAACCGGATTTGCTTTCCAAAACACTCTCTTGCTTGCTGCTTCCTTGTTTTTCCTGGTTACAAATAGGGAGACGTAAAGCACTTTTCTAGGGTTTTGTTTTGTTTTGTTTTGTTTTTTTTTTTTTGCAATTAGCCATACAAGAATGGGAAGAGAGACGTTACTGGAGCCTTATATATACCAAGGTGGAGGCTCTGGAAGCCTGAGGAGGATATAGAAGAGACAGGCTGGCATTTAGGTAATCAGGCTAATTAAATATGCTTTCCTTTACAGACCCTTCTTTACTCTTCAGGTACTAGGAGGGAAGGAGGGGTCAATATGCTTATTTAGAAGCACGTTTCTTACTACAGCTAGGCGTGAGTGGATGCTGCTTTAGTGGTTATCTTCTTCTCATTGTGTTCTAAAGGAAAAGGTGACGTTCGAGATTGATTCTGGTCTGATGAGTGAAGTGATGGGAAGGAAGTGCTTTCTTGGGCTGTAACTTTTTTCCTTCCAGAAAATAGATGGAATGAGGAATTGAGGAGAAGAGTGAGGCGCCACCAGGTTTTTCCCAGAGGTTGTTGAGTTGAGGCTTTTCTTGCTATGAGCCATTGAGATTGGGAGTTCTTGGGTTGATACTAGATCGTGAGTTGACAGTGAGAGGGGACCTGGGGGACTTTGTTATATTTGAGTTCTCTTCTGTAGCTTGGAGTAGTTCGTTCAGTGAAATGACTTTAAGCTCCGATAACTTTTTTTTTTTTTTTTTTTTTGCCACTGTTTTTTTTTTTTTTTTTTTTTTTTTGCCACTGACGTTGACTAAGTGGACCTTTGAAGTTTTAAAATAAAGCTTGAAATTTTACTCTTTCCCCCTTATTTGTTTTTGTTTTTCTGCTGGCTTTGAAACTTGTGCTAGGAAGAGACCTGGGAAATTAAATTTCTTGCAAAGGTAAGTCTGGAACTTTTTTTTTTAATTATTATTTTCCAACAGTGGAAGGGAATGGAAATGATTTGAAAAGTGTTGGGGTTGAGGCTAATTAATGAGGTAGAGAAAACGAGTTTCCCTCCCTCCTGAGTTCACTAAGGTTTGCTGCAGACACTCCTCAGGTGACTGGAGATAGATAGCAGGAGGGAAAAGGACACTCCGTGTCTCGGGGCAAGGTCTCACCTTTGGTTTGCTACTGTCTAGCCTCCGGGTCATCTCTGAGTGACACGTTTAACGTACGGAAAGCTGTGCTCTTGTGCGTGGTCTACGAACTGTTTCTCTTGGAGGGTGACTGAGGGACTTCAGTGGGAAGGCTTTTCTTCTAGTTGACTGTCTCTCGCAGCTGTTCAGAGTTCTTGGGATTTTTTTTTTAAAGACATACTGTGTAATTCTGCCTTCCAGATATATTTGGTTACGTTTTCCTAGTCCCCACCATCAGGAAAGTGCTTCACATGCACTTAACTGTCCTGAAGGTTTTCCATGTAGTGGTCGCTTCAAGGTTCAAGCCATTCTCCCCACCCCCAGACAGGGTTTCTCTGTGTGACAGCTCCAGCTGTCCTGTAGCCCAGGCTGGCCTCGAACTCACAAAGATCTGCCTGGCTCTGCCTCCTGAGTGCTGGGATTAAAGGCGTGAGCCGCCGCCGCCCGGCAAGCCATTCTTTTTTTAGACAGGTTCTCACTGTGTAGTCCTGTCTGACCCATAATTTGCTATGTAAGCCAGGCTGGCCTCGAACTCAGAGATCTGCCTGCCTCTGCCTCCCTAGTGTGGGGCTCAAAAGAGTGTACCACCACACCTGGCTATTGTCACTCATTTTTTTTCTTCCATGTGACTTTCTTCTAAGGGCTTCTGAGAGAGTCAAATATTACTTTTTTTTTTTTTCTTGTGAAAATATAGATGTTATTCCTGTTAGGAAGAAGCTACCATTTTCATTTCAAGATATTTCTTCTACATATTCTTTGCTTCTGATAAGTCAAAGTACTTTAAAAAGTTTGAGTTGCCAGGCGGTGGTGGCACTTGCCTTTAATCCTAGCACCTGGGAGGCAGAGGTAGGTGGATCTCAGAATTTGAGGCCAGCCGGGTCTACAGAGTGAGTTCCAGGACAGCCAGGGCTACATAGAGAAACCCTGTCTCAGTTAAAAAAAAAAGTTGTCATTTCTAGATGGGAGAGTCTGGACTGCTTGGGCATGGAAACCCAGTAGAGAATAATCTATCAGGAAGAAACCGTCTAGGCACATATAGACTCTTAATTGGCTCTTGGTTATTTCAGATCTCCCTAAAGGAAGACAAGCTAGAACTCCAGGAAATTCAGCAGTTCATCAGAATCTAGAACTATTCTGTGCTAGGGATGTAGCTCAGTGGTAGAGCATTTACCTACTTATGCCCAAGGCCCCTAGGTTTGATCCCTAGTACTCTTGTTTATAGTTGTATTTTTTTGTTTGTTTTTATATAGAGTCTCACTCTCTAGACCACGTGGCCTTGAACTCAGAGATCCACCTGCTTCTGCCTCCCAGGTGCTGCGATTAAAGGAGTGCCACTGTCCTTGGCTGACTGTTGCTTTTTGTCTCTTGGTAGTTAGCTGTATATTTGATACCAACACAAGAGTTCTTTCTAATCTTCTGTTTGGAGGAGTGTGTTCTGGTCACTGTGGTATCTTCCATCTAGGAGCTCTGTGTCTAGGCTGAGTTCCCTTGCCACTGAAAGCTGAGTCTAATTTGGGTTAAGAGGAAGTTGACATTCTTTTCATCCTGAAGTTAGATTCTTAGACACCCTGGCTGGGTTGCTGAGTTAACTCACAATTCTAGATGATAATTAAGTGGGGAGAGCTGCTTACCAGCCTGCATACCAGCCTCTTGATATTACTATGGAAGACATGCCTTGGGAAATGCTTGCTTCTGTGTTTTGTGTTCTTGAATAGTGTAAGTCGGATTGGTGACCTAACAAGGAAGGGTCTGCTATTTAGTCTTGTTTCAGGACTTTATAAATGGCACTGAGGCTAAAGATGAGGATCATTTGTGCTAGTCTTGAAGAGGATGGCATTTTCTTATTCCCCATACAGTTTCGTATTGAACTAGGTCAAGTAGACCTCCTGGGATGGACCAGAAGGGAGTATGTCTCTACCACCTGCTATTCACCTGAATGGCAACAGCAGGTGATGGAGCAGGCATTGCTGGGGTGAGATGAAATTCCTTTGTGCTAGTTCGATTTATGAATTAAATGTGCTATGTCTTGACGGGCCTTCCTTTTCTTCTAGACTATGATTGGATTGTTTTGATTTGAAGAGACCCGATAGCTTCCTCCTCTAGATCTAGTAAGGAAAGTGACATGCATCCTTTTGACCCTTCATCATGTCTCACTTAAAATGGGATTCTCAACCTTAGTCCTATAGACATTTGGTCCAGAAAAATTTTTGTTGTTAGTGATTGTTCCATGCTTTATAGGTTGTGTAACAGCATCCTGACCTCATTGTATGCTTGACAATCAAAACTGTCTCCAGTCATTGCCAAATATCTCCTGGTGGGGCAAATTGCTCCTGGTTGAGAACCACTGACCTAGACGCCCTGATGGTTCCTAGATCACTTTCTACTATCTAGGACTTAAAGGTGATTCTTTTCCCCTCCCTCTCAAGTGAAGGGAGTTAATCTCAGAGGATTGAGACCTACTGTAGAATTACATTGATTATATAATTACATTAATTATATAATTAGGACTATAGTGTTTTATTTTGCCTCATTTTCCAGGGACAGAGTATGTGGGGGTAGTTTTTCTTATTTGCTTGGGGTTTTAGGACACTTTGAATTAGGGACCCAAGGAACAACCTTCTCTTCTGATTGGTTGGACATGAAGCCTGCCCATCTGTTTTCTCTGGGATTCTTATAATCAGCAGCTGGTCAAGAGAACAGGTGGGATAGGGACCATGGAAGAGTTGCAGGGACTCTTAAGGAAGCTCAGTTTTCTCCAGCTACCTACTTGAATAAGAAGCTATTTTTCCTCAGCAACTCTATTTGTACCTAGTGACAGCAGGTGAAGCAAGAGAGGAAGAAACAAGGGAAGCTGGTCTGCAGTTGAAGAAGGATGTTTTCTCAGCTGTTGCCCCTACTTTGGGTAGGATATCTAGGCTCTCAAAACTACATGGGGATTATATTTCCTCTTTACTTGGATTTCTCCTTTTTCTTTTTAAAAATTATTTATTTTTTGTTTGTTTTGTTTGAGATTCTCTTTGTAGCCCTGGCTGTCCTGGAACTCGCTATGTTGACCAGGCTATCCTGCCTGCCTCTGGAGTGCTGGGATTAAAGGCATACATACAATACACCTACCAGCCTTTTTTGTTTGTTTGTTTGTTTGTTTGTTTGTTTATAAAGGGAAGGAGTCTACACTTTCTCTGTTGGCTCACTGAGGGAGAGAGGACCAGGTTCTATTGCTTTTCAGCTAAGTCATCATCATGGTTCTTCTGAAATAGCTTACCATTCTGTTTTTGGTCCTAGAAATGGGATCCAAGGCCTTGTGAGGGCTGAGCATCACTACCACTGAGTTACATCCAGTGTTTCTCGGTTTCTGTCTTGTACTTTAGCCAGTATCTTCCTGTGTAAAGTGGTCAGAACACCATCTTGTTGAATAGGGTGGTTTGGTGTGGGTAGTTTTTTATGGTATGGAGACAGCTCTGGCTAGCTAGAATGTGTGGTTGGTTACTGACCACTGAATGTGCTGCTGTGCCCACTCCCCACCCGGCCCATTCTAGACAGGTTTCACTGTAGAACTCAGACTGGCCTTGAACTTGTTACCTGTCTCAGCCTCCCTAATTCTGTGATTATAGGCATGCGCATGCACCACCACGCTTGATTGACACGTGTCTTTTTGGTAGGGTCCTCTCTCACTCTTAGACTCTGATAAGTTTGTTTTTTAACTGGTATTGCATATATTGTTGACCTCTTAGAAATTAAGTTCAATTCTCAACAACAGGCTGTTTCTACAGATGTCTACTACTAGTTATTAGGAATATAAAGATGAGCTGGACGTGGTGGAGCATACCTTTAATCTCAGTACTCAGAAGGTAGAGGCAGGTAGATCTTCCAGTTGGAGGTCAGTTTGGTCTACATAAAGAGTTCCAGGACAGCCAGAGACCCTTTCTCAAAAAACCACCACGTCCCCCAAAGTATTGATGGTGGTAATACGTGCCTGTAATCCTAGCATTCAAAAGGCTCAGATAGGATGATTGAAAGTTCATTGCATGCCTAGGTTACATAGCAAGTTCAAGACCAGTTTGGGCTACACCTTGAGACATTGTGTCCAAAAAAAAAAAAAAAAAAAAAAAAGATTTGGAGAACAGAGAGTTCTTGAAAGAGTCAGTTGCTGGAGCTGGTGAAATGGCCCAGGAGGTTAAGGCATGTGTTACCGTGGTTAAGGCATGTGTTACCGAGCCTGACAACCTGATTTCCATCTCTGGGACCCACTTGGTGGAAAGATGTCCTCTGACCTCCACACGTGCACTGTGGCCATATGCACACACACAAATAAACTGAATACCAATTAAAAAACAGTTGTAAAAGCCAGTTGCAGTTGTACAGTTGAGACAGTGATTGGAATCTGAACCGTGGCAGTGGCAGTAGAAGAGGACATTTAAGAAATAGTTTGTGAGGGCTGGGGAGATGGCTCAGTGGTTAAGAGCACTGGTTGCTCTTCCAGAGGTCCTGAGTTCAATTCCCAGAACCCACATGGTGGCTCACAACCATCTGTAATGAGATCTAGCACCCAGGCAGAACACTGGATACATAATAAATAAATAAATCTTAAAAAAACAATAACAATAGTGTGTGTTGTACAGTAGGAATTAAAAACCGACTGCATGGTTGGAGGTGGTGGTCAGGGTAGAACAGTTCTCAGTAGTACTATCTTGCAAGCTAGTAAGAATGAAGAACTAGAAAGTGGAGGTGAAAACTGTTAAGACTAGATGATTGGTTGATATTACCCTGGGTAAGTGTGTGAATCAAAATCAGGGCTGTGATTGGTTCTTGGCAGGGGTTTGTTACATGCCACCTGTGAGGAAGGGTTAGTTAGTTTGTTTTTATATTGCTCTGCTTTTGAGATCCAATGGCTCAGAGTGGACTCAAACTCCCAATCCTCCCATAGCATGAGGCTTCTCAGTGTGCAGGATTATGGCATGTGCCACGATACTCACTTTTACTCCTGAGATTTTGAAGTTAAGGGACATGCTTAAAGTCACACAGCTACATTTGTAATGACACAGTCAGAATTTAAACTAGTTCCAGCTAGTGACTTATAACTGTTCATCTGATTCAGTTTCTCTATCAAAGATTGTATTCTCAACTTTTTGGTTTTACCTATGTTTAAGAACAGGATGGTGGTGGTGCTTGAAGGCAGATCTCTGTGAGTTCGAGGCTAGCCTCGTCTACAGAGAGAGTTCCAGGATAGTCAGGGCAACACAGAGAAAAGCAGTCTTGAAAAAAATAAAAAATAATAACTAAATAAATAAATGAGGCCAGGCATGGTGATGCCTGCCTTTAATCCTAGCACTCAGGAGGCAGAAGCATGCAGATCTCTGAGTTTGAGGTCAGCCTAGTTTACACGGTTCTAGGACAGCCAGATTTACATAGTGGCTTAGAACTCTGTAGACCATTATGTGGTCTCAAACTCACAGAGATCCTTCTGAGTTCTGGGATCAAAGGGGTACACTGCCACACCCAGATGTTACTCTCTCTTTTTTTTTTTTTTTTTTTGGTTTTTCGAGACAGGGTTTCTCTGTGTAGCTTTGCGCCTTTCCTGGCACTCACTTGGTAGCCCAGGCTGGCCTCAAACTCACAGAGATCCGCCTGGCTCTGCCTCCCGAGGGCTGGGATTAAAGGCGTGTGCCACTACCGCCCGGCCAGATGTTACTCTCTTACTGTATTTTGTTGTTGTTTCTGTAAGACAGGGTTTCAGTAAATAGACCAGGTTGGCCTGGAACCAGATCCTAGCACCTCAGCCTCCTCACTGTTGGTTACAGGCATGTGGCTCCATGACCAGCAAATCAGTGTCTGAAGGGACCAAAAGCAGTGTTTTGAGGGCAAGAGGGAAAATCTGGATAACATGAAATAAAAAAAAAAAAAAACACACAAAATTTGAGGTCGTATCTTGTAGTCCAGGCTGGCCTTAATCTCGCTGTATAGCTGAGGATGGCCTTGAACTTCTGATTCAAGTACTAGGATTATAGGCATGCTTTATCACACTGGCTTGTTTTGTTTGAGATATGGTCTATCTATGTATCCCTGGCTGGACTGCAACTTGCTGTGCAGACCAGAATGACTTTAAACTTAGGGCAATCCTCCTGCCTTTGGCTCCTGAGTGCTGTTAAGTACAGACGTGTACTCTCATGTGTAGCTGCAATAGGAACTTCTGAACTATGCCATACTAAAATTGCACAAAACATTCTCACTCAAGGAAGTGACTGTGTTCCTCCAGTAGGATCTGGACTTAGGGTGTTATCTGTTGAGTATGAAGATCTTTAGTATTGTTTTTGTTTGTTTTGCTTTTGCCTTTTTTTTTTGAGACTGGGTCTCTCTGTAGCCTTGACTGTCTTGGAACTCTGTGATTTACTTGTCTCTGCCTCCTGGGTGCTAAGATGAAAGGCATGCACCACCACACCCAGCATGAGTTTATTTTTTTTATTTTTTTTTTTAGTAAACATTTTGTGATATTTAATAATATATTAAGCAGCGTACTGTTAGTAGCATGTTGAGCAGTACAGATAAATAAAGTTAGTTGCTACCAGTGTGTGGCTCATGGGTTCTTGTCCTGTCTTACAGGACACTGGAGATTGCAGCTGCTGAGCAGAGATTCTGGAAAGCACTCTGTCCCTGAGCCTCTAGCATGGCGGGCCTGAAGCGGCGGGCAAGCCAGGTGTGGCCCGAAGAGCATGGTGAGCAGGAACATGGGCTCTACAGCCTCCACCGTATGTTCGACATCGTGGGCACCCACCTAACGCACAGAGATGTTCGTGTGCTTTCTTTCCTCTTCGTTGATGTTATTGATGACCATGAGCGGGGACTCATCCGAAATGGACGTGACTTCTTACTGGCACTGGAGCGCCAAGGCCGCTGTGATGAGACTAACTTTCGCCAGGTGCTGCAGCTGCTGCGCATCATCACTCGCCATGACTTGCTGCCCTACGTTACTCTCAAGAAGAGACGGGCTGGTGAGGGCTTACGGGGTCTGGGAGCACTTGAATATGAGAAGACTTGTGGGAGGCCAGGAGTGCTTAGCACAGGAGTCTAAAAGGGAGGTGGTCTTGCCCTAGGCAGTACTAGAGAATAAACTGTGAGACTCTTGGGGAGAAGGCAGGTGTGTATTTTTCTTGAGTGCCTCCTTCTCCTCCTGCAGTGTGCCCTGATCTTGTAGACAAGTATCTGGAGGAAACATCAATTCGCTATGTGACCCCCAGAGCCCTCAGTGATCCAGAGCCGAGGCCTCCCCAGCCCTCTAAAACAGGTGAGAAGATGTTACTTGTAATTTTCGTAAGAGAATATCGATCCCATCACATGCCTGGCTGGGCCAACATCAATGAAAGGATGCAGTCCCTCTTCATCTACCCCATGAAAACCGTCAGAGGCTGGGGAGGGGGCTCAGTCTGTAACATGCTTATTGCATAAGCGTGGAGACCTGAGTTCAGAGTCCCAGCACCGACACAGGAAAAGCTGGGCAGTCAAAAAAAAAGTGTCTGTAATCTCAGTCGTTGGAGAGGCAGAGAAGGTGGATCTCTGGAGCTCACTAGCCAACCAACCTTAGCACATTGGTGAATGTAAGGGTCAGTGAAAGGCCCTGTCTAAAATGTACTGGGGAGAGAATTGAGGAAGGTGCCCAGTATTGACCTTTGGCCTTCGAATACAGGCACACCCATACGAATACATCCTGTGAACATGGACACATACAACTCAGATGAGGTCTGCTTTGTCTAGATCCAGTGTTTGCTCTCACATCAGATCCTCCTTTTAGATCACTTAAAAAAAAATCAGTTTACTTTATGTGTATGACTATTTTGTCTGCATACATGTTGAACCATCTCTGCAGCCTCTAGGTCATTTTTTTAAAATTTATTTTTATGTATATGAGCGTTTGCCTGCATATTTGTATGTGTACCACGTGTGTGCCTGTTTCCTGTGGAGGTCAAAAGAAGTGTCAGCTCCCCTCATAATGGTGTTACAGATGATTGTAAGCCACTATGTAGGTGCTGGAAACTGAACCTGGGTTCTCTTCAAGAGCTACAAGTGCTCTTCACCACTGAGCCATCTCTCCCAACTTATTGCGTTTTTTGAGACAAAGTTTCTGTTTTCTCTGTGTAGCAGTCCTGGCTGTCCTGGAACTCAGTTTGTAGACTAGGTTAGCCTTGGACTCAGAGATCTGCCTGCCTTTGCTTCCCAAGTGCTGGGGAGTAAAGGCTGCTCCACCACTGCCTGGCCTTCTCCCAACTTTTTCTTTGAGACTTCCTATTTACCCAGGTAAGTCTAGTACTCTGTGTATTCCAGGCTGGCCTTGAACTCAGAGATTTTTATTTTTCTTTATTTTTTTTCCAGAGCTGAGGACCAAATCCAGGACCTTGTGCTTGCTAGGCAAGTGCTCTACCACTGAGCTAAATCTCCAACCCCCCTTCCATTACTGTTTAAGTGCTGGGGTGACAAATTTCTTCCACCATACTTGGTATACCTCCGCCATGCTAGAGTTGAGCCCAGATCTTCATTAATGTTAGGCAGACATTTGATCACTGGGCTATATCCCTCAGCCTTCAGGTTACATCATCAATACTGCTTTTATTATTAAGTGTAAATGATTCCTTTGCATATTCCAAGTGAAGTATTTGAAGTTTTGCTTTTAAAACCTTGTGTTTTCCATTTATTTTCTGCTCAGTGCCTCCCCACTATCCTGTGGTGTGCTGCCCCACTTCAGGTTCTCAGATGTGTAGTAAGCGGCCAGCCCGAGGGAGAGCCACACTTGGGAGCCAGCGAAAACGCCGGAAGTCGGTGACCCCAGACCCCAAGGAAAAGCAGACATGTGGTAAGGAAATTCGAGGATTCTAGAGATGTAGACTTGAGGGAAAATACCAAGGACTCCTGGGATAATGGGCAGTGTGTTTTTCAGTGCAAGGCAACCTTTGGTTGCTGCTGTCAGGTCAGGTGTAGTTTTTATGAGATTATCCTTTTGGCAATGGTATATTAATGGTAAAATTCTTTTTAGTTATTATTAAGTTAAAGGAATGCCAATATGACATCCTTATTACAGGATGAACCAAGTCAAGACAGAGAATTAAACTTTTGCACTTTTTTCCCCCTGAGACAGGGTTTCTCTGTGTAGTTTTGGTGCACTTTTGCACCTTTTAATAAAATAGCTGTTATAAGCAAGGTGCTGGTTGTGAGTAACCTGAGCATATGCACTGGAGGGAAGCTCCAGCATTGAGACAAAGGCTTCAGGACCCAGTGAAGAACTAGTTCTGGGGAGGGATGGGAAGCTGTGACAAGAGGGTTTCTCCTCTGCCGGTTTTGCTTGCTTTTCTAGCTTTGGATGTAAACACAGTCCTGACTATAACCCACTTTCCTTCCATCTCTCCCAGACATCAGGCTTCGAGTCCGGGCGGAATACTGCCAGCATGAGACTGCTCTGCAAGGCAATGTCTTCTCCAATAAGCAGGACCCACTTGAGCGCCAGTTTGAGCGCTTTAACCAGGCCAACACTATCCTCAAGTCCCGGGACCTGGGCTCCATCATCTGTGACATCAAGTTCTCTGAGCTCACCTACCTCGACGCATTCTGGCGCGACTATATCAATGGCTCGTTATTAGAGGCACTGAAAGGTGTCTTCATCACAGACTCTCTCAAGCAAGCTGTGGGCCATGAAGCCATCAAGCTGCTGGTGAACGTGGATGAGGAGGACTATGAGCTGGGCCGACAGAAACTCCTGAGGAACTTGATGCTGCAAGCATTGCCCTGACCTTCCCTGTCTCACCTCTCTGGGGATTGTTGGCTCCATCACCTCTGGAGCTTACATACTGTTCTGGGGTTCGTTCTCTGCCCTTCAACCAATCACACCACCTTTTCTTTTTTCTTTCTTTCTTTCTTTTTTTTTTTTAAGGAAAAGACAAAGGAAAGTGGAAATGGTGTTCCCTCCCCCTCCCTGCACCCATGTGCCTGGGCTTCCCCTCTGTTTCCTGTTGCCACTTCCCCCTAATGTGTGTCTCTACAGCCACCTTACCACTGAGCCGTAAGACAAGTGTATAGGGACGGAGTCTATGGAACATAGCCTTTGTAAGGGACTGAACGTTGCTTTCAGGTGCATCGAGGGGTAATCAATACTTATGGCTTTATGAGGGCTCTAAAATTTTGTCTGAAAAACCAAAGGGCTGTGAGTAAAGGAGCTGTGTGGAAGGTGGGACTCTGAAGTGTATTTTGGAAATTAATTACCACCTTCTTCCAAATTATAGAATTTTTTAAAAACAAAGAAGCTGTGGCCCTTTCCACTCTCTCCTGGCCTCTGGTGCTGCTCCTCTCTGCCTTTCCTTCATTCCATGGCTCCATACCCCTGCCTGGGGTGGCTCCCTCCTTTCCCCTGTCAGATCCTCGCCAACAGAGTAGGTGACTGGGCCAGACCCCACCCCTGCCCAACTGTGCTGTACATGCGAACACCAACACACAGGATGGACAGAGGAGAGGGTGCTGGTTAAAGTATACTTCCTCTGAAAAGAGTGGGGGAGTGTGACGTGTTCCTCCCATTTCTAGTGAAAATCACAAATGCACTCTTACCCTACCCCAAGCCCCTTTGCCCTCGCTTCCTTCTGGCTTGAGAGAAAATGAGGTATTCAGTATCAACTACCTTTCCTCCTCTGGAGAAGGGGGCTAGGACATGCACTGAGCCTTGTTGCACTTTCTTAGGTAGGGAGGCATGTTTGAGCCAGGAGGCCTTCAAGTGGAGCCTATTCAAGCAGGTACCATGCCACCTCCCCTCCCAATCCCCAAAGGAAACGCCCAGACAGACATTATGATTATTATTATATTTTTTTCAAGGCCAGTGCTGCTCAGCTCTCGGCGTAACTCAGTTTTCATGAAATAAACACTGACTATGTAAAATTTTACTTTTCTGAAACTGAAATCCGAGGTCAGGTCAAAGTCTCTTCTTCCCCGTGAACTTGAACCTGTGTTCCATTAAGAGAGTTTAAGGCTCTGCAAGTGAAAGGAGCTGTGCTTGGGTCCTGCCTGCAAGTCACAGCAGCATCCCCTCACAGCCGTGTGCGCGCGCGCGCGCATCTCTGTGTGTCTCAACCCCAGCACAAGTTAAAAGGCTTAAGACAGCGGACCCAGGCTGCCGTACAGGTCAGGTCGACGGTGCTGGAACACAGGCAGGTGTTGGCGCATCTGTTGCAGAAAGTTGAGGTCGATTCGGGCAAGGCAGAGGCCTGGTCCCTCAGAGCAGCGGGCCACCACTGTACCCCAGGGGTCTACCACCATGCTGTGGCCGTGGCTTGCTCTTGTCTCGTGGTGGCGTCCGCACTGTGCTGCTGCTATTACGTAACACTGAGAGTCAATGGCACGGGCCCGCAGCAACACCTGAGAACGAGAAGTGTGTGCACTCCAGTACCACAGCAAGGAACAGGCAAGTGACAAGACATGGGCACTGCAGGCCCGTCTACTCATCGACCAATCTGCTCGTCAACCAGAATTAGTGACTACATTAACATGACTCACACCTATCTGAGGAATCAATTTCCCCACTAGATGGGAAGAAAATCCTTTCAAGTAGAAAGAACAGAGGAGGAGATCTAGTTTGGTTGGTTGCTTGTTTGTATTTTGTGTTTTTTGAAGTAAGGCCGTACTGTGTAATCCTGGCTGGCCTGGAACCCACAGAGATCTGTCTGGCTCTGCCTCACAAGGCTTGTGCTACCATGCCCCACTGTTTTCAGTTTTATTTTTCGAGACAGGGTTACTCTCTGTAGCCCTGGCTGTCCTAGAACTTGCTCTGTAGGCCAGGCTGGCCCTGAACTCAGAGATCTGCCTGCCTCTGCTTCTAGGTGTGTGCCACCACTGCCTGGCATCTATTTTGATTTTTTTGAGTCAAGGTATTACTATGTAGAACATGTTGGCCTTGAACCTGTGGCAAACCTCTAGAGTGCTTGGGATTTAGCTTTGTTCCACACTGCTAAGAGTACAATTAAAAGGAGTCCTTCTGTTTTGAAGAGGCATTCTCTTACCTCCCAGTGGGCGGGGCCTGTAACAGACCCAAAGGCTGAAGGATAAGTAAGTATTTCTGCCCCAGCTTCAGCCAATTTCAGAGAAAGTTCAGGGAACCGCATGTCATAACAGATTGCTAGACCGACCTGAAATGAAAAACAACCCACTCATCATCTCTGTCCTGTTTATAACGTCTAGTACCTTCATTATCTTACTCCAAAGAGAGATGGTACCACTTTTTCAATATATTCCTATTTCCTTCTCAAACTCCCACCTTGCCTGCTGGTGTGCTGACGGGTGGCTCAAGAGTTCGTCCAGGCATGGTAGAGTTGCTTTCCCGCATAGGCCCCTGACCTGGGATCTCTACATCGCATAGATGTGTCTTCCTGTAACTGGCCACTACTAGTCCTAGAGTAAGAGATAAAGAGAAAATACTCAGTACAGCCACTCCAGAAGTCCAGCTCAGCTCTTCTCCCATAGAGTAATTTATAAGCTAAGAACAGAAGTACAAAACCCGCTAAAGCCAAACAGTTGAGAAAATAATGCTGAAGGATCTGAGTTGAAGATAGAAAAGCCTGGAAAGAGGCAAGCTAAAATGTTATTAAGTCTCACCCTCGTTGTTCAGAAGCACATGACAATTGTAGATTTTCTGAGTCTGCTCCCAGTCTTGGCCACGCTCATGGAAGCCACCCAAGGACAGCCAGATTCCACATTCCCTGGGGGGAGGGGACACTGACAACTCAAGGCTCTACCCCCTCTGTGTGGCAATACAGGAACACTGCCCCGTAGTGATTCCACTCCCCTCCCACCCGTGTACCTGGCAAGCTGGCTATATCGTCCCAAAAGGTCCCCATCCAGTGGCTCAGACAGTCGTAATGTCTCGGCAGGATTTCGTGCAATGAAGTCAAATGCCTCAGGCAGGAAAGCCAGGCAAGCACCCAGTCTGGCCGCCTCTCGAACCAGCTCAGCACATGTTTTAAAGTTCTCTTGCTTGTTTGGTGTTGATGTTACCTGGCACACAGCCACCAGGGGCAGCTCCCAGGAAGTTGATGAGGACACCGCCATGGCTCTGGGCCTGTGAACGGCACAGGTAGTGTTCTCAGATTTGCTAACATGGAGAAACCCAGAGGCTCAAGTGGGATGGGCCAGAAACCTCGATTTTTTTTGGGGGGGGGGACGACAGGGTGTTTTGTAGTCCAGGCAGGTCTTGTTATGTAGCTGAGGATGACCTTAAACTCCTGATTAATCCTCCTCCTGTTTCCCAAGTGCTGAGATTACAGGTGTGTCCCACCATCCCTAGCGACTTCTTTCCATCCTTACAGAGCTTAACCCCAGAGCCACTGGAGTTCACTTATTAAACGTTTGGTGGGTGGCAGACACCTTTGTCTCCGACTATGCAGTTATAAACACGGACTGAGCAGCAATGTGGCAGGCAGAGAACATTAGGAAACATGTTACCTGGGCTGAGTACAAAGTACTGAGATTCGAGGTAATCGGTGTCCGGTACACAGAAGGGACAGGAGCTGGCGAGGCGGCCTGGTGATGAAGCCCAGCCTGAAGAAGGTGAGAAATCAGGACACCTAGCCCTCTTTCAAGCAGTAAGTTTCTAGAATCATCTGCCATTTCCAAGCTTAGCCAGTAATTTCCTCCCCCAAGACTTCAAAAACACCTTTTTTTTCCTTTTCTTTTCCTTTCTTTTTACTATTAGTAGCTATGGAAAGAGATCATAAAACGGGAAAATGGGAGAGGAGACCATGATCCGTGCCTCAATACCTCAACTTCCAGTGATCTCACATTAAAACTGAAGCCCTTTTTCCTCTGCCAAACGTTTCCGCAGTTCAAGTCATCTCATGGAACCTTCCTCGCTTCCCCAATTCTCTCTTCTGGGCTGTGCCACCTGCACAGTTTTATAGACTCAACACGTATCTTTCCCCTTACACCAGTATCTCAGAAGGAAAGGTCACTCTCCCTTGATCCCCACCATCTCGAGGTGGGTAGGGGGCACAGGACCAGATCCCGACCCTAGAGCCCGCCCTCTGATTAGCGCGCCCTTCCCCGCCTCTCCCTGGGGCAAGAATCTCCGTTGCCCAAGTTAAAGCATCGCAGGTGGAATTCACCGCAGCGGGCAGGGTTGGGGAGTAGGTCCTACATGAAGACACAGCCAAAACCATTCGCAGGGTCGATCTGAGGAGCTTCCCGGAGCCAGAAGGGCAGGGGCAAGTGGGTGGTAACTACCAGACCGGATGTGACGCAGTGCGAGTGCGCAGGCCGGAAAGCTTGCAGGTGGCGAAGATGGCGGACAGCGGCGGTCGTGTGAGCAAGAGCAGCGGGAGCAGCACGGGGAAGGGGGCGGTGTCGGCCGAACAGGTGAGGATCCGCGGGCGCTGAGGGCAACTGGGTCCACGTCGGGTTCGTGCAAGGAATAGGGTTTGTGGCTTTAGCCCCTTCCACGTTCTGCGTGGTCACACGCAGGGGCCGGGGAGGGTGGTGGTGGGGGTGTCTTTGGAGGTGATCACGAACCCTCCTAGGGCGTGAGGGGTGGTGTGTAGATGAGAGCCACGCCCGCGGGGTGGGAGGGCGAGTCGAGCGGGAAAGCCCTGAGGTGCGGGGTCGGGGAGGGTGTCCTGGTCTTTAAGGTAATGGGTCATCGTTTTCCCCGTCTCCGAGATACCGTAAAGAGGGTACGGGTTGGCGTGGCATCTAGTAACCGGTCCCAGAGGGTATTGGTCAATTAATTGTTGAGTCTGTGACTCTAAAACCGCGTTCACCGTCGCCGACACTCTGCAGAGCCACGTGACTCAGACTCGACCAGTTTGGTCTTCTTTAACTATTGTAACGAAGGAGTCTTCATTAGATTGGCTTTGTGGTTTGGTTTGGTTGGTTGGTTGGTTGGTTGGTTTTTGGTTTTGGGCTGGAGGATGGAGGTTGCGACAGGGTCGATCTAGGTAGGCCTGGCTTTTCTGCAATTCACTGTGTAGACCAAGCTGGCCTGGAACTCAGAGATCTGCTTTTCGCTGCCCCTGGGAATCTCAAATTCTGGGATTAAAGTCCTGTGTCACTATGCCGGGCCAGGGTTGTTTGGTCTTTGAGACATGGTCTCACTAAGTAGCCCAGGCTAGCCTCGAACTCGCTCACTGTGTTCTCGGAGTGTAGATTGACTCAGAAGAAACCAAAAACCCTTTTCTAATCCCAGTTTGCTTTTCCTGCTCTACATAACATCGGGATACGTCAGACCAGAAAGGCCTTTGTGGTATGGAAACTGCCTTGTTAATCGTG